ACTCCAAATTTCAAACATCCCACCCACCGGCACGCGCGGGGTTTCGAGAACTGTCACCCTGGACACCGCCACCACTATCAACCGATGTTTTTCATACCTTTGGTCACGATTATCTCGTCCTGGGTCTTGTAATTAATCAATAATTTAACATATTGCGAGGGTAATCAGACAGATCTTTTAGACACGTATATTTGTATATTATTATATTAGTTTCATTCAACCAAAACTTTTATTTATTTGTTGGCACGAGTAAGGCCTCGCGGAATGCCTGAAGCGGCCGCTCCACTCGCTCCACCCTAAAGACGGCCCTGTTTAAACATGCTTCTTATCGCTAACATTTTATTCTGAAGAATTGTTGGTATGCGCGTTGAAGGTCGCATATCTCCACCTAAAGAATCAGATCGTGTACCTCGATATTCACGAATACCTACTTTCTTCCATTCGTGGTGAGAGTGGCTTACTTTGTGGATTTTATAGAAAGCCACAAATTTTAATTGTACATGGCTGCACATGTTTTGTAGTTTGTAAAATCGTTTTCTTTGAGTTGCATAATTTTGTAAGGCTTTTTAGTATTTACTTTCGAAAGTAAACGTAGAAGAGAAGCCGGGAAGTAATTCAGATTTTTTCAAAATCCTTTCTATGCAGCTGCGTACGGCATCTATTTCCTGATTGCGTGAATGACCAGGGGTTGAAAATTTCATTGTAATGACAAATATAGTCGAAATCACGAAATATGACGATCACGTCATCATTTTAGTCTGTAGTAAAGACAAACGACAGCGATTTGTGAATACTTTTAATGAAGTTTCAGATATGTTAGACAGAGACAAACAGAATTTTATTGTCTAAACGAACTGTATTACTAATTTGCATGTATCCGACAAAGATAGACGCTGTTTTCATGTTTCATGATCGATCATATTTGAAAGATGAATAGTTAGGTTATGTTAAAGCAGGTTAGGTTGTTCTCTAATAATACTTTGGTCTTTGGTGTTCCTGCCTTGAGGTATTGTACTCATAACTGTTTTTTTTTCAAAACAAAAACTCCCCAATAAAACTATTATTAAGGTATCACTCAAAACCATGAAATAATATAAAAATAATCAGTGAAATAACCTAACTTCGCAAAATCATAATATAAATTTGTTGTCATTATGTTCCTGACATGATTTTATCATTGACGTACGTCCATTGATTACTTCAGTACAATTTATGGTATGACGTAATAGTCATCTTTCGTGATTTTGACTATATCACTGAGTAACTGAAATATGATGATTTATCCGTCATACAACTTTGTAACTTTGGTTGCCTACATCATGATATTCGACTTAGGACTTTGAAACGCTATGAAAACTTAGGCATATTGACAATGTAATAGTGAAAAGTCAAATTTTGAGAAAATGAGACTTACAACATCGTAACTCTAGGGTAATGATGTGCTATGGCGTGGGATTGAAAAAGTCTCTCTATATGGAATATTAATGCCATGCATATTTCCTCTACGTCTGAATTTCTAAATATGACCAGTAGGTACGTAAAATGACCTGTGTTGAACCAAGAATCTCCTACCGTCCTCTACACGTATGCCCCTGTTTGCGGAAATCATATTTTCGCCGCCTGGGACCAACTCCGCATTGTTCCCACACATCGGATCACAGTTATAAGCCAATAGCACACGTTCTTCTTTATAAAATTAACCAAGAATCCCCTAATCTCCCTTACGTACGCCGCTGTTTTCGGAAATCTCCCTTTCTCGCCTGAGAGCAACTGGGCTTTGTTCCCAGGCGTTGGAGCGCAGGGAGTATTTACCTTGAGCTATCGCTCTACAATTAGAAGCCAGTAGCACATACACAATTCTCTATTCTGTTCGATTCTATTCATTGCATTGTTCCTGCCTGACGACCGATTCTGAATAAAACATACCGGCCTGTGCAGGGATTGCCGTCTATTGAGAATTACCCAATGGTGGTTCAAAGGGGTAGCAGAATCATTTTCACCACTTCTAAAAGTATTTATTGTTGGGAGAGAAGATTATGCTGACGCACATTTAGTTTCTACGCCACTGGCATAGGTTATGAAAATGGGCAATGACGGCGGAGTTACGGTGCAAAAAACGAAGAAATAGAAATTACTCTAACTTCGTCTTTTTAATGTTACAGAAGCTCCTGTGCATATTATGAAAAATTGAGGGAAAGCTTAATCTAGATTTTTACCATTCCGCTCAATAAACCTATAAAGTTTCAAGGCATCAGATCTGTTCAACATCGTTAGCAAATGTTAACATGGAATCGAAAAATATTCCTAGGTTCTTAAAACTGGTTGCTTTTTGAACTTCAGAACCATTGACCACATAGTTGTAATTACAAACTGTGTTTCTTCTACTAAATATAACAACTCCAAATTTTTGGGCGTTGAGACGATGGTTGTTCTGGTTACACCAGTCACCAAAGGCAACCAAGTTATTTGGAAGTAATTGACAATCATGTAGTGTGCAAAAATTAAAGTGACACTGCCACTTGTGAGCAATGGCGGATATAGTATCTCTAGTTCTAGAAGCATGAGGTTCGTCTGCTGAAGATCGGATAATCTAGAACCATGGTCGCCAACCTTTTCAGTGTGTTGAGCTACTTTGATAATTTTGGAATAAACAGTGAGCTACCTAGTCGAAACAATGTAAGCCAACTTAAATGAAATTATACACAGTTGTATGCGACATATTACATGTGTTCATTTTACTAAAACTAATACATACTAATAAACTTAAATAAACTAATAACTAGTACATACTACATAACTACATGTATTTCTACCAATTGTAGGTGTCAGCTACAATAGCATGTCACATACGATTTAATAAAGGTTACTAAAAATAAAAAAAAGCAACGCACTATTTTAAACAAAAAATGTCCAGATAAAAAATGCGTATTCAATGAGAAGCCAGACTCACTGACAATTTTTTTAATGCTTGCAGTATAATTTGATACCGCCATTCGAATACAATTATCCAAATGTTCATCTGTAAGTCGATTACGAAATTTGTTTTTGATAAAGTTCATACCTGAAAAAGAAAATTCACACAAAAAGGTTGAACTAAATAACGCATTCGCTTTCAAGGAAACACGACATAAAACTGAATATTTATCTTTACTTACCGAAGGCCAGATACACTTTGTACTTGAGACTAATGATTTTAAAGCCAAATTTTTGAAGTGCAATCACTCCCATTTCTGCCGCATCGATGTCTTCGCTAAAATTCTGCGTAACAGAAGTTGCAAACTGTTGGATATCAACTTCCATGAAGGGTGAAACAGCAAATCGCGCCACTAGAGCAATTTCGTTGAAATTTTTGAAACGATTATTGAAGTTATTCTTCAAGTTAGAGACTATTTCTTCATAATATTTACTATCATATGGTTCCAATGGACTTTGAAATATCTTTTCTGAAAGCACATGAAAATGACTGGTATCGCCATCGATAAAGTTTTGTTCCCAAAACTCAAGCTTTTTGGTAAACGCTTTTATACCATTTCTCCTAGTTTTTTCTCTCTCTCTCTTGAAGCTGCAAATTAAGTTCATTCAATGTTTCTGTAATATCCACAAGAAAATCAAAATCTTTAAGCAAGATTGAATTATCCAGTTCCGTAATAGGTTTATCACGTTGTTTGAAAAATTGAACTATGGCAGATATCATAGTATCATTAAAACGTTTCAGTACTCGTCACCTACTTAACCATTGGACTTCAGAGTGAAGAAGTAGTTCCCCATATTAACAGTCTATTTCATTGGCCAAGGTTTTGAACTATCTTCTTTGTAACGCTTGAGCTCTACTCTTGTTCACAATTTTTAATACCAATTTCATAACGTTGTTTAGCTTTGGAAAATGTTTACATAATGCTTGCTGATGGATAATGCAGTGGTAACAGAGAAATTGCGGAAAACTTTCAACTTCACGACATAACCACACGAGACCCTTATCACGACCCACCATAGCCCGAGTGCCATCGGTTGTCAAGCCTACCATTTTTGGGTATTGGATTTTTTTCAGAAGAAATAATATTTTTAAAAGAAGAAAATAAGTCCTGTCCAGCAGTTTGTTCTTTCAGTGGGATGAACTTCAAAAGATCTTCTTTAATCGTAAAATCACTAAAAACCATCCTGACGAATACGGCCAGCTGAGAGATGTCAACGACATATGTGGATTCAGCACACACAATAAGCACAGTCATCGAAGTCATTTCTTAACTGTAAAACTACATCATCGCTCATAACTTCTACTCGTCCCATCACTGTATTAGCAGAAAGTTGCATAGATTTTGTAGGAGACACTATCTCGTTTTTATTTCCAAAGTTGTAAAGTAATTAATCTGCAGCTTCTAAAAACGCCTGTTCTATCATTCCCCGTCTTCATCAGATTTCTTCTTTTGTGTAATTATCTGGGACAGCCGGTATGATGCTTCAGCAGCCTTACTTTTGTCGATTGTTTTTAAAAACATTGACTGTTGTCTAATTTACTCTTTGATTTTTTTCAGTTTTTCCTTCTGGTTGCAAAGTAATCGAGATCGTTCTCGAACAGATCGCTCACTGCAGTCTTTTCGTTGCGTGTGCTTATTATGAGAATTTACAAAATTTACGGAAGCTTCTATGATTTTTCCACCTTTTTAAAACATGTTGTGAGCCACCAGAATTGCCTTTGTGAGCGATCGACGGATTGGCGAACCACTGATCTAGAACGTCTGATCTTCCCATAATCCGCATTCTGGACCGCACGAACTCGGAGGTCCGACTCACAGTGCGTTTTGTGCGTCACTTTAGATTAGCTCTTGTCCATGAGCACTACCAATCGTGTACAACGTTATTTCATATACAATACCGCTTTTTCCCACAGCCTGCAACATGTTCCCAGGCTCAACCTATCCATACTCTACTCAGTAGGTTGGCGAGAGTTTTTAAATACCCAGTTTATACTCCATGAATTGACCAAATGTGTTTTTTTCCAGGGCCCTGCACATGAAGGAGCACCCCGACTACAAATACCGCCCGCGTCGAAAACCGAAACCCCTTCTCAAAAAGGAACCCAAATTCGGCTTCTCGATGTCCCCCCTACTCTCCCCCACGCACATGGACGGACACAACCTCCCTCGCCCCATGATGCCTCCCATTTCAACCGCCTCTAGCCTCCCGCACATCCTGAATCAAGACCACGAGCATTTGAAACTACCGCGCTCGTTGTTTCCCCCCCTCCCGTATTTGTACAACCCCTTCAGGCATGCTGACGAGTCCAAATTTGCTGCTGAGCTGGCGTTATTGTACAGTAACAGTCACCTGTATCCACCTGGGATCAACTGGCCCCTAGGGGGGATTAGTGCCAATATGCCGTGCAATATTTGCCCACCTACATTCCCGAGGAGGTCTCCTAGTCCGGAAGCTATCAAAAGGCCGGTAAGTTATCCAAAAAGTGGGCTACTTAAGATTTGAAATTTGAACCGGCTATAAGAAGTAAAGTTATTTCCAAAGAATCCCGCACAAAACATATGCAAAAAGGGTCCCAGTCGATTGACTAAAAATTCAGTATGATATATTTATCGCTTTTCTGAACCTCATAGGACCAAATCAATCCTATGATTAGTTTCTGAGAAATTCGGGGAGGAAGCTTCTGTTGGATAGAAAAACTGTTACAGATACATTGATTTCTCTCGGCTTTTTCAAAGCTTTTGATACCATTTATCATGGATTGCTTTGTGCCAAGCTCCAATATTATAGCCTCGATACCATATTTTTAAATTTTTCAAGTCATACCTATCCGATCATTTTCAAAAAGCCAAATTGGGAATGATATATCTGAAACTGCTAGTCACACTGCTGCTTATGCAGATGATATCCAGCTGATCTACCACTTTACTCCGGAAGAAATTGATAAATGAAGATATATAGAGAGTGAGAGAAATATTTCAATCTTATTTTGGCAAAAAAGATATTATAATCACATAAGGTTGAATCTTAACATAAGATTCTTAAAAGGAAATTCATAGATTAATTAAAAATTCTGGGTGTAACGTTTGATGAAAATTTGAGGTTCCATATTCTTATGAATATTTACCACCTTCAGGCTTTTTTCAGTCTTTACAAATTATGTAAGAAATACCACGTCTAAAAATACAAATTTAATGACAGAACTGTCAAGAAATTGACCTATGTCAATTGCACTTTGATCGTCAATACAGACTAAGAGAATTAGGAGAAAAACAAATCCTTGATTAGCTCCTTCTACACAGTTCTCCAGAGATAACCTACTTAACATTTTTTTTTGTTGCAGGTCTGCGTAATAATGAAAAACGACGAATTCCGGAACGAACCCCTTCCTGCACACGTCATATGAAAACCACTTCCGGTTCTGCCAGAAAGGCTGAACCTGGGGACTTGGTTTAGTGACATCGCCAATTTGGCAACGTCGAGCAGTTCAAGCAGCGTTGCCACATGTTCTTCCGAACACAAAAGTGGTCAGAATACAGACCAGGACAGTCCGTGTGATATGAGTGATAAGAATGCAATTTTTCGTAACCGCGATTAAGTTAAAAAATGACATCGCCGAGCTGCTCAGAGAGTGTTGCAACATGTCTTTGAAACATTAGGGTGGTCAGAATTCTGTTGAAAACAGTCATTACGATACGGCAGACTTAAGGGCGATTAAGGTTAAAATGCTGCTAAGCCTGAAATATCACACATAAATGCAATGATATCGCAGACTAATATTGAAAATAGACTAGCAAAAACATGTTTTACATTTTTTTATCTTAATGTATCAAATCAACATCGAAAATGTATTATGAAATGTACATGATAACACTTTACGTACCGTACTTTCCAATTTTATCAGATATTTTCCATCCATGTCACATGTCTCGGTTAAGACTAAAAACATATATTGTACAAATAGTTTGCAGATAATAAATAGGTTATCGAGAAAAATTGTAAAACTATTCTAGTATACAGTATATAATTCAATAATATGTAAAAATGTGAATGAATGTTATAGCTATGACCCGTCGTAATATGAAAAGTGAACAATCTTTAGCTAAAATCATGCTTTTAGCAGTGATCTTGTATTATAACAACTATAATACTAATATAGTTAAAAGTTAAGAAAATAGAAATTGTAGAAATTGTAAATAGGTAGTATCAATGGAGAAGAATAAAACGAAATGAAAATGGGCTAATCTTTTTTTTTTGATTGGGCTAGTGCAATGATATTCTAGCACATTGTGATTTTCCATGTTGACAGGACTTTTACTTTTACCTTTAACGTTTAGTATTTATTGTTTTATATTCGTCATGAATTATTGTTACCATGAATTTTTCTTTGTTTAGTGATACTTTTGTTGGGTTGAGTATGTACAAAGCTGTTGAATAAGAAATAAATCTTTTTTTTTCTTATTGTTGGTCTTTACTATATCTATCACTAGCCTAAGCTTGTAGCTCCCCCGCGTGAAAGCAGTGTAAAATATAGGTCATTCGGTTTGCATTATCATTTTTCCAGGGGGGGAATCCTAATAAACGTCAAAATTGTACACAAAATAGTCCTACAGGTTGGCATTCAATATGCTAGCACGTAAAGTGATGTCATCTGCAAGGCTGTGAGTCAAATTAATCGCAAAGGAGTCGTATGTCTCAATATTCCGTGGACATAGAAGTACCACGTATTTTTAGAGAAATAAGTCGATTAAGTATGATTTACCTCTATGTTTCGTTTGTCCGCTAGAGGGCGTCAAAGTTTTATTTTCAAAATACATTTTTTTAGTTATTTTGGAACCGATAGTCCGATTTGCATGAAATCTGGATCACATGTGTTTTGCTAAGCGTTCTAATATTTGACTTTTACGAAAAACCTGAAAGGGTTTGAAAACGGTAGACACTACCCCTAAGCCTACATAAATTATAGCAGAACTGTTTCGCAACACTTTTTATATAAAAGGTTATTTCATTTACTTCAGTTTCCGTCTTAAAACACATCTCACATGGAGTTTTCTGGAGAAAAAGAATGCTTTTCTAAGTTGGTTTTTGGAAAATTTTCTCATTAAATCAAGAAAAATCTAGTAGGCACCTAGCTGACGGAAATGTGGCATGTTATGTGGGATATTATTAGGAGAACTGCTATTCAATGGCCACCTCGTTCCCCGGATCTTAATCCTTGCGTTTTTATACGGGGAGCATAAAAAGGCAAAGCTATACGAGGTTCAGCTATACAACGCCAATCAACCATGGGACAGGATTCAAAATGCTTCAAATTCAATAAAGAATAATGACATGTTAGAAAAACGTAACTATAATTTGTTTCGCCTATTGTTATGTGCAGGAGCGAAAATATTGAACGCCTATTATAAATGATTCGCACTATTGCCTGTTTTAAATAAAATTGAAATAAATAATGTCATACTTGTTTATTTTATTTATTTAATTAATGAGATGCTTGGGAATCTCTTCATGCAACTCATCTTTTTTCTCGAAAAGTAACACAAATCGCCTATTTACATAAAATGAATAAAAAGATCTGCTGAATAAAAAAAATAGGATCGTCGGGGAAGTTACAGTACAGTACCTATATAAGACCTAGTCTCGAGTATTGCTCACACGTTTGGGGTGCTGCCGCTCGGTCTACATTATTTATGCTCGTTGCTGGCCAGAGGAGGGCTGCCCGACTGATCGATGACTTTTCTCTAACCGACAGTCTCTGACCCCTTTCGCACCGGCGAGTCGTCTGCGATCTAGCTATCTTCTACCGCTGCACCAAAGGGCTTTGTCGAGATTGTGGAACAACTAACCTTAGGCAGTTCAAAAGTCGAATCAACAAATTTTCTTTGGGAGCAGCAGCAGTGTCTTAGCTTTTAGGCTTCTGCCTGCGCGGCTGCTTCGGTATATATACTAAGTGACATATAAATCCGAACACCCAGTTTAAATGGTTTTATTTTAATAAAAGTTGGTGAATGTATTTATCTTACTGTAAATAACAAGTGAAAAAATTTTCAGCCTTATCAGTTGGACATTTCGGTTTTTATACTGCTTTTTTTTAATTCACTAACGCTCTAAAAATGAATATTTCAGCCGCAGTAAAGAATCAACGTTGGCAGAATTTGGTTCTTGACATCCTTTACGATCGGTTACGATGCCCAGAGTACGGAGACCTGTACGATTTCGTCAACTTAGTGACTTTGATAGGGGCCATATAGTGGGACTTCGGGAAGCTGGACTTTCTTTTCGGGCAATTGCAGTTAGAGTGCAAAGAAGTGTAGACACTGTGGTTAGGTGTTGTCAGGCATGGCTTCGAGAAGGCCGTACGCAAAGAGCAAGGGGCACTGGACGCCGCCGTAGAACAACAGACCGTGAAGATCGCCGCCTGAGATTATTGGCCTTAAGGGACCGTTTCTCCACTACCAGGTCTATTGCAAATGAATGGTTTGCAGAACACGGAAGACCTATTGGCATGCGAAGTGTTTACCGACGAATGAGAAGTTTTTGGCTTGTTTTCATACCGGCCACACTGGGTACTCCCTTTAACTCGAGAACACCGACGTAATCGCCTTGACTGGTGCAGACAACGGTCACTCTGGGATCAGGAATGGAACAGTATTGTCTTTAGTGACGAGTCTCGATTTTGTTTAGGCATGCACGATGGTCGTGCCAGGGTTAGAAGGCGACGTGGTGAAAGGATGAATCCACAGTTTTTTGTTGAAAGACATGTTCATCACACTGTTGGAGTTATGGTTTGGGGTGCTATAGCTTATGGTTCCAGGTCACCTTTAATCTTCATCAGAGGTAACATGAACGCGCAGCGTTATATCCACGAAGTTCTAGAACCCCATCTTTTACCCTATCTTGACACCCTGGCAGATCCAACTTTCCAACAAGATAATGCCCGACCACATGTTGCAAGAGTCACAATAGACTTCTTTCAACATAATGATGTCACATTGTTACCATGGCCACCAAGATCTCCCGACTTATCCCCAATTGAGCACGTGTGGGATATGATGGGTAGGAGATTGCTCAATTTGCAACGTCCTCCTCAGACTCTAGAAGCACTTCGAGAGGAGTTGGTGGTTGCCTGGAATGAGATACCACAGAAGGACATTGACCACCTGATCAGAAGCATGCCTAGGCGCGTTAGAGAATGCGTAGCACATCAGGGTGCATCCACACATTATTAAAGGTCAAAGGGCTTTAAAGCAGTACAATCATTTTCAAATTTTTATCATTTACTTATTATGCTTCATTAAGTACTTATACAAAATTTTATTAAAATAAAACCATTTAAACTGGGTGTTCGGATTTACATGTCACTTAGTATATATAAAAAAAAAGTTACCAAGACATTCTGCTATAGTTCATATAGAGGTGGGGGACGTTTTCACCCTTTTCGAACCCTTTAGAGTTTTTCGTCTAGCAAAACATAATTATGATGTGTTCCAAATTTTATTCAAATCGTATTGCCTGGGCTGTGAAATAATACTGCAATCTAAATAAATTGTTTTTTAAATAAACCTTAAGGTTATAATAAATTCGTCTTCAGCGTAAAAAGGCTTACACTAAAAGTGGTCAATAAAACAAAAATACAAACCCTAGTAAAACTTTATCAATTTAGCAACAGATTTTGGATGTACTTTCAAAACTTTTTTTTATATCGAAGCAGCGGCGCAGGCACAAGCCTAAATGCCGGAACACCGCGGCTGCTATGATGTTCCCAAAGAAATTTTGTTAATACGATTTTTGAACTGCCTAAGGTTAGTAGAACTGGGAAAAGCTTCCTCTTGTAGATTGTTCCACAATCTCGACACCCTCAGGACAAAGGAGCGGACGTATCGGCCAGTTCTGGATGTACGAAGTTCGACACGGTTAGGATGGGACGCCAAAGTCAGGCGGGTCTGTCTGGCAACCACATCGCGCGGCGACATCATTGAAAAGAGCTCTGAGGAGCAAAGCCCGTTGGTGTAGCGATAGAAAAGCGCTAGATCGCCGACGGTGCGCTGGTGCGAAATAGTCCCGAGACAGTCTGTTAGAGAAGAGTCATCGATCAGTCGGACCGCCCTCCTCTGGGCAGCATCGAGTATGGGTATTGTAGTCGGGGCGGCAGCACCCCAAACGTGTGAGCAATACTCGAGGCTAGGCGTTACCTGGGCCTTGTATAGAGTGAGAAGGTCATGCGGAGAAAAGTACTTCTTAGCCCTAAACAAATAGCCTAGCTTTTTCCCAGCAGCTGCAGCTATTGACAAGATGTGTTCGTGCCAGATCAGGTACTCGGTGATCTGGATTCCGACCAGCCGAAATGAATGGCTCTTTGGCAGAACTCGGCCGTCCATCGAAACTGGATGAGCGCTAAGATGCTTTTTGTTCGTCAAAGTACAGTACTGTGTTTTTGAAGCATTGAACTGTACAAGATTGTTGCGGCCCCAAGCAGTGATACCTCCAGGTCTCTTGTCAGAGAGGAAGGCGTTGCTAGTCTTCTTTTTTCCAGCTCAGTGGCAGAGATCGGCTTGTCACTCTGAATTCCTGCATGTGAAGTGCTGTCATCAGCGAAGCTGTGGATTGGGTTGATCGTGCAGGAAAGGAGGTTGTTGATATGTAAGAGAAATAGTGTTGGAGCCAAGACCGATCCCTGGGGAACACCTGCGTCGACGTTGTGGGATGAAGAGGAGAACCCGTCAATTACGATGGATATCTTGCGGCTAGAGATAGTCAGCCATCCATCTGCAAAGCTTTTCTGGGTGGCCATAGGATGAAAGTTTGCTTAAGAGGGCAGCGTGCCACAGCTGATCGAACGCTTTCGTGATGTCAAGAGCAACGACATGTAATACCCCTGCCGTTCTTACTATGTCTATATGTACGACGACCTTAAAACAGTTTTCACGATCCGGTTTAGCGGCAAATTGAGTACAAAATACAACAAAAAATTCCACACAAAACAAATAAACCACCTGAAAATTCATTTTCCAGCTTATTATCTCCCAGTGCAGCGTTTTTCATAATTCGCTTCTTCATCAAGCCCCATACAGAAAATAAAAATCGCCGGCTATATTAACTAAGCGTACGGCGTTGCTGTTAGATCGAAGGGCACTCAAACCTTAGCGAAACGCCGTTTATTTTTTAATTTTCGACCGTGCACCCTCAGGCAATAAAGGCACTACAACCTCCGTTCAGTCGGAAAATAGAACAAAAGCTCAATCAGGGGGACCTGTGACTCGGAGTGATTTGATGCAGATGAGGGAATTCGGGAGGAACTCTATCGAAATATGATAACACAAGGTGCCATCTATGAGTTTTTCTATTCCGAAGCAGCTGCGTAGACAGATGCCTAAATACCAGCGCACCGCGAATGCTATGAGTGTAACGGTTTCACCGTCCGATCGTATTTATTAAATCACTTCTCGATTATCATTTCATTAATCCCATCTCTAGCTTTTTTGCTTGGAAAATTTTCCGCTTGGAGCGCTTGATGCGGAGTTCCTGATCTGCGATCTTCCTCGCGCTTCCTTTTCACCTGAGCCGCCGATCGAACAACGGCTAGAAATTTCTTCTCAGTAGCACAAGGCCACAAGGTTATATAGCACCATGTGCTAGAATTTTCTAGAATGTGTGTCCGTATAGGACAAAAATGATTGGGGCCACCCCCTTTCTCTTTCCCTTTCACTTTGCCTAGTCTTGGCCAATATTTTCACCCATGCATGTGCCTTGGCAGCGCCATCGCCTTTAACTTCGCCTACAACTGGTTACGAAGCCACTATATGTGAGGTCACCCCTCACAACTGGGACCTCCCCTTCAAGCCCCTGGCCATCCTGGCTTCAGTCGAGTAAAAATGGACCAGCGAAAGATAAGTCGATAGCGTTATAGTAGCGCCAAAGATGTAAAACTTATTTTGTTATTTTTGTAAAATTGTAATGTAATGAAAATGCCTTTTTTTTTGTTAAATAAAATCTGTTAAATTTTTGTGTTCTGTTTGTTCTTCTATCCTCTAGCCATGCCATGGTCGACACACAGCTACACGCCTGTAGATGTCTTCATGCCACCGACTGAGCTACCGGAAGCTAATTGTAACCCCCTTTCTGTGATTGTGCAGAAAAGTTGGAATCTTCATTGCATTCCATCTTTTCTGGACTTTTTGCGGAAAGGAAGCGTTACATGAGGAGCTTAAAGAAATTTAACTAATCCAAATTTTTAACTGCCTAATATAATAATAAATGACTTGTTTATGGATGTCAATACAAGATTGGACATTTAATCAAATCCTCAATTTCTTCTTTCAAGGGAATATGGACTTGTTTGATAGTCGAGGGAGTCATATTACGAGGGTTGTCTCAAAAATAAGGTTCCCAACTCTGTATCTTCGCCGCGCGTGATGCTAGGCGAAATCTAGCAACACCTTCGTATTTGTCGACTCCCCCACCACCGATCCCAACAAGAAGCGCCTATGTGCAATGCTCAGCACCGGCCCGACAGCCATGCGCAATGGAGATCTTCACAACAAACGAAGGACTTAATCGAGCGATTTGACTGGGAAGTCATTGCCCATCCCCCTTGCAGACTTGACATAGCGCTTCCGAAGTTGAAGGAACACCTAAGCGTTTCTAAACAGGTTGACGGCGGACTTCTTTGAGGCGAGAGTGCAAAAGTGAAACAACCCCCGTATATAGCTTTGGAGCCAAATATGAATATGATATATACATTATATATATATATATATACTTTTGAGTGGCTTAGGGACATACTCTCATATTGAACTGTGCCTTGTACGATATCCATGTTCAATTTTTTGTAGTTTTTGATAGTATACATTGATATGAAAAGATGTAGCTGTCTTATGTCCAACATTTCAGTTTCTTCGTAAAGAATATCAGAAGTATATAGTACATGTCTCTTGAATAAGCTACGAGCACATAGCTATCCGACTAATCGATGACTCTTCTCTAACAGGCATTCTCAAGACCCTTTAGCATCGACGGGCCGGTGGCGAGCTAGCTCTCTTCTACCGCTACGCCAATGAGCTTTACTCCTCAGACCGCTCCTTCATGATGCTGCCGTGCGATGTGCCTGCTAGACAGACCCGCCTGACTACGACCTCCCATTCTAATCTTGCGAGGGATGTCTTTTAAGTTCTGCATATAGAAACATGGTAGGCTGCGCGAATCGAACGTCAGTACTGAATCATAACCTCACTCTTTAGTAAACTTAACTTCAAAGTTTCACAACAATACGTGCAGTGTTCTCACTACAGTGAATTTTTAAGTGTCACCAAGTCATTAGAAAAATGGAACTCAACCGAGAACATTTTCGCACCATAATTTATTACAACTTTCAGAGACAATTATCGCAACAAGAATGCCTTGCTGAGTAACTGACTGTTTTCGGCAACGAAGCACCACATCAGTTGACAATTTCCCGTTGGTATGGAGAAATCAAACGTGGACGGGTGAGTCTTAGCGACGATTCCAGGGTGGGTGCACCAAAAACGGCAGTCACCCAGGAAAGCGTCGATGCTGTGCGCAAACTCATCTTTGAAGATAGACATGTGACATATCGCGAGATTGAGGCGTTCTTGAAGATCTCAAAGACCTCAATTCAAAAAAAATTTACATGAAGAATCAGGAGTAAGAAAATTAGTTTCTCGTAGTTTCCTGTTGACTGAAGAGCAGAAAGCAGCCAGGGTTAATTGGTGTCAAAAAAGGCTTGAACGTTTCAATTCCGGAAACTCAAAAAATGTGTGCAGCATTGTTAGTGGTGATGAATCGTAGATTCACTGTTATGAACCAGAAAATAAATGACAGCCGGCTATTTGGGTGTTCCAGGGTGAAGAAAAGTCAAAAATGTCATCTGTTCTCGAAGTGTTTCGAAAAAGATGGTCGCGACATTTGTGTCAAAAGCGGGTCATATTGCAACAATTCCTCTTAATGAGCAAAGAACTGTTACTCCGGATTGGTCTACCACCATTTGTTTGCCAAAAGTCATCACCGAGCTTCGAAAAATCAACCCCGAAAGAAGAATCATCCTCCACCAAGACAATGCAAGCTCGCACACAGCCCAAAAAACAAGGCAGTATTTAACGGAAGAAAACGTGGAATTATTGGATCATCCTCCATATAGTCCCGATCTACGTCCTAAATTTTTTTTTACTTTCCCGAAAATTAAAAACAGACTGCGTGGTCAACGGTTCCAGTCACCAGAAGAAGCAGTTGGCGCTTTGGATCTGCCAGCGAACGAGTGGAATAAGTGCTTCGAAAATTGGTTCGAGCGCATGCAGATGTATATTTATCTTCGTGGAGAATTCATCGAATAACAATAAAGTCATTTAAAATTTTACCGTGTTGTTTTATTTCCATATACAAAACTTAAAGGATATCCCTCGTATCGAACTTAGTATATCCAGAGCTGGCCGATCCGACCACTCCTTTGCCCTTAGGGTATCGAAATTGTGGAACAATATACATGTACATGAGGAAGCTTTGCTCAGTTCTACTAACCTTAGGCAGTTCAAATATCGGATTAACAAAGTTTATCATATCAGCCTCGGTGCCCTGGCATTTAGGCTTTGCCTGCGCGGTTGCTTCGGTGTAAAAAAGTATATTTGAATTACCTCAAGATTGTGAAGATGTGTTGCTGGGCAGCACCCCATGCTCATATTCCATATGTCAAATGACTTTCAAATAGAGCATGATAAATTCTCAAATTATGCCCCGGAAGAATATTTGAAAAGTCTTTTAATTTATAATAGTAATAATAATAATAATAATAATAATGTTTATTGTCACAAAATACAGGTAAATATTGAATATTGTGCACAATAAACATAAAGCACCCAAAAAAGTTTGCACTTGTATTTGGGTTTGTTAAAAATAAAAACTAAAAGTACAGTCACCGTAAATACTGTATAATTTGGTTAATCGAATTATTATGGTGATGTCAGGAACAATATCCAGACAATTATAACTAAAGTAAAAGGATGGATGTTTTTGTGAGTAAAATATTATTGATTTTGATAATGATTTTTCATATCTACAATTTGGTTGCTGTAAAAGCCATCTAACATAGGTGATTTTTAAATTTTCTTTTGTTATAAAGTGGTTTTGTCGCATAATATCTTCTTCTATTTCACGTACTTGAAGTTTTTCTTCAGACTGATAGCCACTAATCTTTATGTTAGGATTAAACATTTTCGGTTCGGATATTGTATATGTTGATGGCAGATTCTTCCCAATTTCTTCTTTTAGCTTCATATGATAGCGGTCTTCTACATATAATTCAATACCACCATTTTAAGAGTTCTTAACAGTTTCAAGTTTGATGTTCATTTTTGATAAATTCAAATTTCGGCTCTGCTCATTCTTAGTTCTGTAGATCGACTGTTGTTGTTCGGGGTTAATGATAAGGGTTTTAGATGTCCTTTCTTTACTCTTTGATGGTGAATTTATAACTGCTTGGGCATATGTGGAATTTTATGTTGTTGTTGTCCTCTAACTTCTCAATTCTCCTAAGGAGTTTCTCATGTGGTGTTACTATACAGTCCTTATCGACGATGTTTGATGAAATAAGATCTTCTTCTTGAAATATGCCAACTTTCCAAACTTAATGTTGTACAAGTTTCCAAATCTTTCGTTTTTTGTAACAACTCCTGTTGTAATAATTTATTCTGTTTTTTCAAGTACTCATATGTTTTTTGCGTTGATATAACAGAATCACAACTAATATTTACAGTCATCTTCATCCTTTTTCTTTCTCCAAGTCATTGCACACTAAGTATTTAGAATTTTGTATCAATGTCAAAATTATGACAAAGTTGTATATACAAAAGGCCGAAAGGGTTTACCTCTTGAAAATTGCCTGATCCCCAATTGTGGATATCCAAATGTAGTCTAGGAACAAATTCAAGAGCAGCGACAAATTATTTGATTCTTAGTTTCGACAATATGGTGATGGAACTGTGGAAAAGGTAGATATAAGTGTAGTAAATAAACCTAATTTTGTTCACTAAATAATTTGTATTTATATCTCACTTTAGATTTTTGCCAACATATACTCCTAAATACTTTACATTTGAAGACCTTTTTAAATCAATTGCTTCTTTGTTGATTGTGGATAAAATCAATTTATAGTTAGATAAATATTTCGTATATGGTGTGAAGGAACAAATTTATAGTCAGTAATCTACTGAAAAACTACTGTAGAATTTTCACGAAATACTATTTTATAGTATTTTGGAGGGTATGCCAGTCATTTGTTTTATATATGGAATTACTGTATGATGCACAAAAATTACAATTTTAACCACACATAAAATACCGAAAAGATCAAATATATGATAGAGACCGGATTATACTTTTGGCGTGTGAGACATGCATGAAAAATGGTTGAAATATGCATGAAACTATCAAAATATGTTAAATTAAATAACAATAAAACAATGATTTTTATACTTTTTGTTTTATAATCGGCTTACAAGTAATCAATAACTAAGCACTTGAATGACTATGAGATCCGTGAGTGACGACTATTTAACATGTTATTTTTGTAAACCCAAACAATTAGGTGTTGTTTCAAATATTCAGTGGTAAGATCACTCAAAATGTTATTATAGGTCGAAAAAGACCGCTCCGCATCCACGGACAGTATTTGAATCTGGGTGCTATGCTAGCTTTTATTGTCCCTGGCAAAACAACACCAGTTCTACCATTAATAAAGCTCTCAATTTGACATAAAGATTCAAAGCCTGGCTTATATTTAAACTAGGACTAGAATCCGACTGGCAATGTTCATTTGTCGGATTTTTTTAATCAATTGAATAGACTCAGTAAACGCCAACCCTTGAGTTTCAAAGTTTCTGATACTGGCAGGTAAATAAGAGAAATGAGTGGTGTCGTGGATCGTCAGTGGTCTACTTGGCCTTGATGCGCGGCTGCTTAGGCTGGACGTTCATTGGAAGCATATTCGCACATAAAATGCAGGCGCGAATTCACTCGAACGTCTCCTCTACCAAAATTTTTATTGGAAACCGTGAGATCAATAAATTTGCCTAGCTGCAACGTAAAATTTGATTTATTATCTAGATAACATGCCGAAAAGGATATTATAGCAAGAATATGCAACGTCTCTAGATTTTTGTTGAAATATGCAACAACCAGCGAAAGTAGGCTTAACATGCAATTGCTTATGCTAATATTCAAATGCATATAATCCGGTCTCTAATGATAAATAACATTGGCGCAAGGACATTTCCTTGGGGAACCCTGTATTTAATGGTTTTTCTATCACTATATGTATATGTTTGATATTCTGATAAGGTAAGTAGAACTGCGAAAAGCGTCAGGCAGACTGTTCCACAATCTCGATACTCTAGGGACAAAGGAGCGGACGTATCGGCCGGTTCTGGATCTAACTTCGACGCGGTTAGGATGGGAGAACGAAGTCAGGCGGGTCTGGCCTGTATACAAAAGCTTCGGCGAGCCATTTGTAAGTGGCAGTAGTCATACCGTCTTGCCCGCTTTCTGTTTATCCGTCTCCAAACAACTACACCTTTACCGTACTGATGATTGATAATAAGCATAAAACAACGCGCTAGGCGCTTGATCATGGTTACAGAGACGGAAAGTAAGCAGACTCAGTTCACACTGTACAGGTATATAATTTTGGGCATTCGTATAGGGTGGCAAAAATTCATTGGTCCATCCTCGCCCATAGAGGGTCCAGATGCACTTGATATGGGAAAAAAGAAGGGAGAACCGGTAGTTCATGTGTCCAACTAGCAACAGATCCCCATTCATAACAGCTTTTCAGTTTTCCGAATGCGGACATGTCCATTCCATAAAAATCACAACTCCATTAAAAAGTATCTGCATACATCGGTTTCCCATTTCTATTACTATCGCCCATTTACGCAAATCACATTATGGAGCTTTTTCCGTACTGACTGGTTAGATATTAATTTTTATGCCGGCCATGTCTGGCTAAAAACTGCCCGAAAAAAACGAATAAACAAACTGACACTTAGTCCAGGATTCCATGTATAGTATTCCTATGCCTGTTTAAAACCATCAGACAGTTTAAAAAAGGTTTTTATTTTTTCATTTGGAGTCTGAGGGAGTATCCTATCAAGGAGTTAGCAATGCAGGGCTATGTTCGTAAATTGCTACATTGTGCTATTCTGTAACAATTTCAGCGTTCGTAATTGTTTGACGTACCTGTTCCATGCATTCGAGAAATAGAACAAAGTAATCCTTCTGGAATGTTAAAGGTGCTCTTCTCTACCCGTGCTCAAAACCTTGGGAATAAAAGTGTTGTCATTCTGATGGTTCATTATTTGGTTATCAAAAAGTGCTCAACATTGGCAGAATATACGAGCCCCTTCCCACTTCAGTTGGTCCACTTCAAGATTTGTACCAAAATATGCCATTATAAACTAAACATGACTAAGCCATTTACTTCTAAAACAATTTATTTTCTCACAAAAGTTTTAGATACACTCTAGTCGTAAAAAATACATATTTGAAATCACTTAGACCTATAACTAATAGAACATCTGAACAAATAAACAATGTGCGAATAAATGCGCGAAGTTAACAAAGCAACAATTGAAAGATTACGATTGGGTAACATCACCTTTGTTTTTTATTACGGCTGAAATTCTTTGGGGCATAGTGTTAACCAAGTTTTGGCAAAAATTTGGTGTAAAACAATCCCATATTTCTTGAAGCTTTTGTCTCAGTTCGGTGATTGTACGAGCAGGATGTTGTCGTAGAACCTTTTTCATCTCGTGCCACAAAGTTTCAATAGGTGACAGATCTGGACTGCTAGAAACCCATTTCAAAAGTGGTACATTATTTTCTTCCATCCATTTTATAGCCTTTTTTGAGGTATGGCTCGCTGCACCATCTTGCTGAAACGCAAAATCTTGGCCGGGTGTCAAACATTCTTCCATCACTGGTAAAAGTGATTCTTCTAAAATTGCCAAGTATTTGTTTGTATCCACATTTCCGTCAATAAAATGAAGTTTTCCTACTCCTTTTGATGACATACTGCCCCAGACCATAATGGATGCTGGAAATTTCACTTTTCTCTTCAGACAGTCAACATGGAATGCTTCTTTTTTTTGCGAATAACTCTACCGCGACTGTCACCAACACAAACTTCGAATCGGGCCTCGTCACTAGATTGTATTGCACACCATTGTTGAGGTGTCCATTGTCTATGTTCTTTAGCCCATCTAAGCTGATGTTTCTTTTGCAGTGGGGTTAATAGTGGCTTTTCTTTGGCCTATAAACAAGTTGTGCAACTTTAGGGGTTTTA